TTCAAATAATACTTTGGAACAACGTTCGGAACAACTAGAACAACTTGGAACAACTAAATAAATATTGAATTTCCAAACATGGGGGGCTACCATAGAAAAACGGTTTTTCTTGTCTGGCAGCTTCAAATTTGAGTTTTTTCAAATAATACTTTGGAACAATGTAGAACAAACATAGAACAACCCAGAACAACCTAGATAATAATAAAATTCAAAAAGTGGGGGGCTAACTTCACAGAGGTGACTTTGAGGTGTTAACTTCTTGAATAAGCTTGATCTTAACTGAGTCTGCATTAATTTTGATACCCGAGCTCTCGAGCCCCATAATCATGGGCTTGTATTCGTCTGGTAATCCGGCCAGCATCAATGTCCCGAGCCACTCATCATCGACATTAAATCCTATATTACGTAGTTTGTGAGCAGTGTTCATAATCTTACTTACATACTCCTCAACACTAATGCAAGATTCCAGAGTCGTATTGATTAAATCTTTGAGTAGGCCAACTCTTCTTGTAAGTCCATTGTCATCAAAGGCTTGATGTAAATTGTGCCACACTTCTTTCGCTGATGTGCAGTCCTGGACGTGAACGTAATTTTGTGTATCAAGAAGTAAGATTAGCTTTGCCTTGGCCTTAATATCCTTGCTAGGATCAATCGGGTCATTGTTACCCGGCTCAATGCAACTCCACAGATTCTCGTGCTGTAAATATGTCTTCATACTAAATTTCCAGGTAGCGAAGTTTTCTCTTCCTACTAATTTTTCAATGTTGAACATATTACTCGAACTCATTTTGACTGAAAGTTTTGTTCTTACGAAATTTTACGAGAACCACGTTGTACGTATAACCTCAAATTGAATCTCTGCACTTATTTCACAAACTGAAGTTGTATTATCACTTTCCTAATATTTCTTACTGTACCAATCGGAACCACGCTCTGCTACCATGAAGGATTATTCGTGGTTGTGGTATTTAAATAAAGGATTTATTTAATATAACTTAACGATTTATTGCGAGATCAATTTCATTGCAGTTGCAAAGACAAGAGAGAGCAGTCACAAGTGTCAAAATTAGGAACTATAAAAATGGTTGCGTTCCATTATAACAATTCTAACAATTCTACTAGACACCCCATAGAACTGTCGTCGAGCAAGATGACGCCACACATATTATCCCGTGGAATTTCTGAACTGCCTGCCAGCAATTGGACTTCCAGCGCATACCATCAAGCTGAAGGTCGGTGTCCTGAATATGCTTCTTCGGAACCTATCTCCTCCGAAGTTGTGTAACGGGACCCGCCTTAAAGTAATCTCGCTCAACAGACACCATTGAGGCGGAAATTCTACGGGTTGTGGCGTCGGTGAGGCAGTATTTATACCACGCATTCCCCTCATACCTTATAACTTCCCGTTCCAGTTCAAGCGTGTACAGTTCCCCGTGAGTGTTTTCTTCGCGATGACCATCAATAAGTCGCAGGGGCAGACACTGAGGGCAGCGGGAGTCGACCTCAGGACGAGCTGCTTCTCACACGGGCAGCTGTACGTCGCTTGCTCCTGTGTCCCCAGCCCTGAATCTCTTTACATTTTGACTGCGGAGAGCCAAACCACTAATGTTGTTTATCGAGAAGTCCTATGAATATTTTAAATACATATTTTGACCCTATTAATTATTTTCTGCATCTGCTTCACTGACAACTTATGACTTAATTCAGCAGAATCACCATAAAGTCATTTATTCACAGCAGGCTGAAAATCAGCACTTTTTTGAAGGTCAATTTTACAAAAGACAGTCTCCCTCTGTTACTGAACTTTCTGTAGATATGAAATGTAAAGAAGAAACGGGTAAATGAATGTTATTTTAAAAGGTATAATCGTAGGTATTTTTGGTGCTGTATAGAGTTCACGCAGACGACGTCGCAGTGAAATACCTCACTTGTTCCAAAGTCACTTCCAAAGTCACTTTACAAAAGCAGATAAAAATATACTTTTTAGAAATCCAAAAATTAGACATCCCCAAGTTTTATGAGTGGCAGGCAGGTAGCCTTGTTTTCCAAACAGTTTCCGGATACTACACACATCAAAAGTGTCTAGGGATCAAGCATTTTTATGCGGATTTCTTGAGATTGAGATGTGGCTTTGTAATAAATTTATGATTTTATAAATTTGTATGTTGATCCCTAGACACTTTTGATGTGTGTACTTTTGTATATACTTTAAATAAATCATGTGTAATTATAGTTATTATATATATGTATGATATCATCTAATTTTATCTCGCCAACAATCACTTCATTATTTGTCTCTATATTGTAGTAAATATGTGTTTGTCTCCACTGCATTGTCATGGCTGTTTTCTCTCTTCTCCTTGCAAAATCTTTTAAATGTTTATTATTAATAAAGCTAGTCTACTCACTCATAAAGGTGATGGCTGAAAATCGGTATTTTGCCTTAGAACTGGCAAATGTTTAGCCGAGCCTTGGCCTTTTGCTTTCTGTAGCATACATATAGATATTTCATAGCTGATTTCTTGTATCTTTTTTTTTATTGTATTACTCTGTCTGTAAATGTATATGTATGTTGAAGAAAAAAATAAACGCATTATCTATCTATCTATATCTATCTATCACTTGTTCATCACGAAATCTCAGAAACTATATATAACATCTAGAAACTTAAAATTTGGCAGGTAGGTGCCTTATAGGGTGTAGATATCCGCTAAGAACGAATTTTACGAAACTCCACCCCTAAGGGGGTAATACGGGGGTTTGAAGTTTGCATGAAAGTCCTATATTTTTGAAGTAAGAGACTTGAAATTTAACATGTATGCTTTATAGATGGTACCCTTTTGTGGTCAAAAAGTATGTGCAAATAACTAACTCCACGCGTACGAAGTCGCGGGCGGCCGCTAGTTTAACATAAAAAGGATATAGAAAGCCACTCTGAATTTGTTTCGCCGGTTCTTTTCAGAAAAGTCTCGCAATTTTGGAACCGGTGGTAGTTTGCGGTAATTAGGATCAAATAAATAAACTCAAAATTAAAAAAAAGAATTGAATAAAGTACTTTATTAATTGAATTAGCTAATAAATTCATACATAGACAATAAAGTTTTAAAAATCTTCCAATGAAATATCCGAACGCTCAATAAGTCTTTCGAAGGTAGCTCGACAAAGAAAATAAAAAATCATTATTCCGACGACGCATTCATGCAAAACATGCGAAACGTCAATCTAATACTTATATAAAACTAGCAAACTAGTGAACCAAATGTTCAACAAAACCTGATTTAAAAAAAAAAATGTATTTGATTAATTGAGAACTTCGGAGATTTTGTGTGGTTTCGTTTAAAATTCGTGATTTCTCGAAAACCGGAAGTGCAAATCCGGTTTGTAGTCTTATCAGACTATTCTTAACTTATAACTTAAACATTCTCTTTATCTATCTCTTACGGTTTGGCCGCTGAAACAGCACCACAGACGGACGGACGGACTTGTCTAATAGATAAGAGATTCTCGTGTCACAATGTTAGTTACCATACTCCTCCGAAACGACCAGGTCGATTTTTATGAAATTTTATACGCACATTCCGTGGGTCTGAGAATCAGCTATTATCTATTTTTCATATCCTTAAGTGATAATGGTTGTCCACCTGTAACGTAGTGTTCTGAAACCTACAATGCGCCTTCGCGCCAAAATTCAAACTATTGGGTATTGTAACGTAGTGTTCTCATATGGGTTAGGAGGAATGTTATCCCAGGAAATTGATAGAACACTACGTTACACACACCTAAATTTCTTTTTGACGATATTTATTTTAAAGAAAATATAACTAGAAAAAAAATCCACGCGGACCAGGCAGCAGACGGGACTCGAACCCGCACCCTTCGCAATCCGGGCGAATGCACTGACCAATTATGCTACCGCGGCCCTCACGGACCGCGTCGAAATTCTTTCTAGCTATTCTTAAGCTGCAAGGCAGCGCCATCTCTTCGCATTATAGGTAAACCCTTTTTTTCTAGTTATATTTTCTTTAGATTTAAACATCAAGCAGTTACATGCTTTAAAAAAATAATAAAAATTATAACTATAATTGCTATTTCTTCTTTCAAATGTTTAATACTTGTAAAAGTATTCATTTGACATTGTGGGTTTACCTATAATGCGAAGAGATGGCGCTGCCTTGCAGCTTAAGAATAGCTAGAAAGAATTTCGACGCGGCCCGTGAGGGCCGCGGTAGCATAATTGGTCAGTGCATTCGCCCGGATTGCGAAGGGTGCGGGTTCGAGTCCCGTCTGCTGCCTGGTCCGCGTGGAATTTTTTTCTAGTTATATTTTCTTTAGATTTAAACATCAAGCAGTTACATGCTTTAAAAAAATAATAAAAATTATAATATTTATTTTTTTATAATGTGGTATTAAAAAATACATACAACCTTAATTTTTCTCTTCTACCACCTGCCCCTATTTTTATGGCGGTACGAAGTTCGCTGGGTCAGCTAGTAAATAAATGAAATCAGTGCATCTAACCCGTTGTAACTTGTTTTATTTAACAAACTATCTGCCTAAAATATCGTCATGTTTTGGTATTTAGGTATGTAATCAATTACCAGAGTTAGTTAAAAAACGTTAAAAGTTTATAATATAATAAAACTACCAACAAATAGGTATGAAAAAATCACTCTATTTATTCAAACGAAACTGCCTCTGTAGCACTGATTACTCTGTCCCGGGCTGCGCAAACTTCATGAAATGTTCCTCAAACACTGCATAATGCAAACGAACCGACCCGACTAATGAGAGCGACTGAGACGCGCGCACGCTCCCGCCAAAAGCGGGAAAGAGACGCACAACATGCAGGTACAAATGCGCAACACACGCGAGGGAGACAGCGAGATTTTGAATATGGAACGGCGAGAGGGAGGGGCGCAGCGGCGCCGCTGTTGGTCGAAACCTGAATTATTGAGCATTGCACGCCCTTTGGGCTGAGAAAGGCGGGAGCGGGGGTGCAGCGGGGGAGCGGGTGTTTGCCGGCCACTTGCCGCGCGCCTTTCCGACGTCACACCAATTTTGAATTTGGAACCGCCATCTTAGACCTGGATTTCGTATTTTCTGTAGTGCAATGACCGCCCAGTGATCGGATGCTCATTTCGAACGCGCCTTGGAGAAAATTCGCGCGTTTTGTTTTTGTTCGATCCGGTTTTGTTTTTTGTTTTTTTGTAATTTGTTTGATGCAAAGTGGTGATGGATTCGTGCAGCCGCTGATTGGAGATTGGACTCAGAGTGACTGGCAGGTCGGTAAATGATGTATTTTTTCTGTTTTTTTTTCAACAACGTGATAAAGGCAAGATTGGTTATAAATTTAAAGTTCAAAAGATCTTTGTGGAAACGCTTAGGTACATATTACAGCATTTCGACTGTATGCGACTTCGTGTGCGTAGGAAAATTAGTTTATCATACAAATTTTCTCCCCCATTTTACCCACTTAAGAGATGATTTCTTCTCCGGTACCTATTTCTTTACCAAATTTCATATATTTACGCTGTTTAAACGTGATGAGGAAACGAAAGAGACAGACGCACCTTAACAATTATTGAGTTCACAGTTTTACTCCAAATAAACAATCAATTTGTAAAACCATTAGCGATTTAGGTATATAAAATTTATAAATAAGCGAAAACTTTACTTTCCGAGGCGCGAAACGAATTACCTAGAACCTATACTAATGTTGGCCCCTCCACTATGATTGGCCCTCTTGTATCTATACTAAAATATATAATAAAAAAATACTGAACACAATATCTTTTATTGTTATTTGATGGCAATTCTTCAATCGTCAGTAAAAATTTGAGTTCTACAATGAAAGTTTTTGGAAAAAGCAAAGTTTGATTGTCGCAAGTTCCGCACAAGAAACGAAAAGGCAGCCATTAAGGTAGTGTTCTTACACACCTTCATTACATAAACATACCTACGTCATCACTGGCAATACACACGAATTCAAGACGTCTTGAGACACGGCAGTAGATGGGCCGAGAATATGCTCCGTAGCTTCTCGTACGCTGTCCAGTCGAGTTGGATTCGTCGCATATTAGGACAATGGGGCCCCTATGACCCCCGTTTGGTGATCTAACAAGAACTAGGGACTTTATATTTGTGATCTGAGGTGCCCACCTACCGATCACGGGACCCTGGGCACTTGCCCAAAGTGCCCACTGGGAAAGACGGGTCTGTTCGTCGATTTACCGCTCTCTGGAAGTTGGAGTTAACAAGTTGGACTATTTGTCCCAGGTAAACATAATCATAGACAACTTCCAGTGTAGAGCTTATAATCTTCACCGATGTGGATGCGACATGGGAATCACATCAAACTAATATTATAAAAGCGAAAGTTTGTGATTGTGTATGTTTGTTACTTCTTCATGTGTAAACGGCTGGAGCGATTTTAATAAATTTTGGTATGGAGTTAGCTGACACCCTGGATTAACACATAGGCTACGTTTTACTGCGGGAAAATATCCCACAATAAACCGCGGATAATACCGCGGGGCATAGCTAGTTAGATATAATTTTTGTCTTGTCCATGTTCATTTTAAGACCCACTAGTTGAGAAACTCTACAGGGGTCATGGAACATTGTGCTCAGTTCTTCCATGCCATGGTCTCAGCCATGACTGCGATATCATCAGCAAAACAAAGGTGTGTCATCTTCTCTCCGTTTATCTGTATGTACGTTCGCCGCGTATGTATGTGGTCTATGGTATGAAAACCTCCTTAGCCGTGGTTTGTACGCCGGGTTTCATGGTGTCACCGACTCGAGAGGTCCCGGGTTCGATCCCCACCGCGAGGTGGGGCAGATGTTTGTGTGATGATTACGAGCGTTTGTACTCTAGTCATGGATGTAATATATATTTCTATATAAATATACTTATATATGTACAGTATATGTTTTCTATCCGTTACCCTAGTATCCCGTAACACAAGCCTTTATACAGTGCTTACTTTGGGGCTAGGCTAATTTGTGTGTATAAAAAAAATAAAAAAATAATATAATCTTGAAATAATAAAATACATAATAAATATATTTTTTCAATAGCTTTTATTACTTACCTACACCTACTTGGTGACGCGTTGATGTCCATTGCTGCGAGTGAATCGAAATCTGAAAAATAGAATGTAAATATGTAATAATAGTGCTTTTAATAACATAATTTAGTTTAAGAGTAATAGTCGTAAATTTATGTATTAGAAAACATCTTACCTAATAAAAATACCTTCGAAAAACCATTAGAAGTGACTTAGATGGAGTAATTGCTTGTTTATATCGCGTAAAACATTGCTTGAAAACTATCGCGCTGTAGCAACGGTTTCTGAATCGCGCTATCGTCACGTTTAATATTTCTATAAAGAGTATAGGAGCATTTGAAACGTACATACTCCACCTAATATTGAAGTTTCGTGGTAACAACAGGCTTGGATGGCGTTTTAACTCAAAACATGAAAACTTTATGTAAATACTATCTTACATCGTAATAACCGGGTCGAATAAGATTTGATTAGTCCACATGTAGGTTCAAATGGAAAATAAACAAAAACCATTTAAAATTCAATATCGTTTATTCGGTCTAGGCTGTTACAAGCACTTGTGAATGTCGAAAAGCTACGCCATCGGTTCGCAAATCTACGGCGGGAGACCTTGTACTGAGAAGAACCGGCAAGAAACTCAGCAAGGGCTGTTTTGTTCTCCCTGTATTATATACAGTGTTGTCAAATTTAAAAATGACTTCAATATGAGGTAACTCTTGAAATGCATAGCACAGTCTGCCATAAAGAAAACGAGGTGAAATCTCAAAAACAAGCTAAAAATCATTGCAGTCTGGACCGCTCTGTGGCTTAGCTTTTAAAATCTAAGAGGACCCCGGCCGTATTGAAGTTTTTGAACTCTTTTTGTGTCGTTTTTCGTCGTCGTCAGTCCAGTAAAATCACCGTTTGAAAGTATGGGCTAGTTTACGGCAATTCCGGTAGTTTGTTATGTTGGCCCAATGAATATTATCCAAGTTTGCGATCTCGAGCGCCAAACGCAACTTTGTCAAAAATTGTGAAAATAGCGGCCTTTTTCAGATTTTGGCGATTAAAACCCTATCTGCCTTATCCTAAAAAGGTAAATTTAAAAAATGAAAAAACCCTACTGCCTAAATATTACTACACCAGTAGTCTATAATTCTGTAAAGTAAGGAACAAAGCTAAATTAACAGTCGGGACCCATTATTTAAAAAAAATGATTCATCCTTGAATATCTTATCTCTATAATGAATTAATATCTAAATTATTATCAAATAAAAACTTTCTAAATTGTATTTTATGGTGATCATTTTTATATTTTATTAGGATCTTAAAAAAAACAGAGATACTAACTGAAATACACTTAATAAAAAAATGCTCAACAAATATAACACTTAGAGATTCATTATCATCATATCGTCATATCGTACTTTGGTTTGGTTTGGTTAGGTTTCTCAGAAAAACGTAACAGTTTACAAATCGGCAGCAATGAGAGAAATCTCAACTGTTAACTTATAATGCGGATAATCCTCTCATTTGGGCCACTCTGTCACCCCGTCCAGCGCGCAAGTATAATGGATCCATGATCCATTCCATAGTGAATGATCTATGGAACATCCTTCCGGTGTGGTCACCGATCTATTTGTAAACATCCTCATTTATGACGCATTCCAGGAAGCTGGATAAAGGTCTACGCCGACAGACGACTAAGAAATCTATACTCAGATGCTACTTAATATACTCGAAGATGCGGAAGTCCGATTTGTTTGTTTCATATTCTCGCTTGAGTCGCTGAATGCTTAGAGAGAAATGGAGAACAAATAATAAAAAATACATTGCACAACAAATAAATCGGGTCACATGTTATTTCGGAACTTTGATTTGATTTTCACAAAAAGTTTAAAACTTACAACTTATCAAAGTTCTAACCATAGAAAGTCCATTTCATAATAAATAAAATGAGTAAAAATATGTTTATTAATTTACTAATTTAGTACACACCCAATAAAAAAGGCAGTCAGTGTGTGCCTTCTGAATATAAATAACAAAATACATTATATACTCGTACATATAGAAGACCTACATACATATATATGCAAATAAACATATATACTTAAATAAAATATATAAGATATTTCTTTCTTAATTTTTAATGCACACCACTCATCAAATAAAACAAGTTTCAACGGTGATTTATTTATCCTTTAGGATATCAGGATGCAAAGGGTCAATAAATAAATAAATCAGTCCATATACACCAGTGAAACTTGTTTTATTTAAAATATATAAGTGTAAAATACTGTCAACTTTTATTGTAAAATACTAGCATGTGGCTCTCGAGCCCACCGACTTTGGTCAATCATTTCGCCGGAAGCCGATAGGTACATATTAGAGATGAGCCGACTATAGTATTTGTCGACTAACCGACTAGCCGACTAATCGGTTTTCGAATTGCCGACTAGTCGGCCGACTATTCCGCAATGACGATCATTCTAATAAATATCTTAGGAAGGTGTTTAGAATATTTAGTAAGCATCCGCTAAGAAAAAAATTTGATCAATTCTACCCCCATGGGGATAAAATAGGGAATGAAAGTTTGTATGAAACTTTGTCAATTTTAAACCGATCGGGCTGAGACTTTGCATGCAGGTATAAGAAGAATCACAGATGAATGTCATTGTGTATAACACAAGCCTGAGAACAAAAACTGTAGTCTACACTTCAGCTCTATACCGAAGCGAAGCGAGGGCGGGCTGCTAGTCTATTTATATTTCTTTAGATTTAAACTACATGTGTACTTATTTAGGCGACCATCGCCACACCAGCTCATGTTAAGACAGGGTCCTGATTAACCCTTTTTTCATTGCTATTTTATGTTCTTTCTTTTTGAAGATTTATTGTGTAATGGGGGTTGATAAAAATCTTTTTCTTTCTTCAATTCTTCTCTAATTTTAGAGTAGATCAGAGGAGATTGTCGACGGCGGTTAATCTTGAAGTTTTCCCACCGCGAGAAAATTGTTCCGTTTGGATTTCCATAACAATTAACTTCCTGCCATCTCCCTCGCTAATCTTTGCATTATTCATGAGAAGTTTAAGTGTTGTGTACATATCTATGTTGTCGTACACCCGCCGGGTAAGTTGCAAGTGTGCGAATCACTTATTTATAAAGACAGTATTAAAAATAAAGTGCCAATATTCCATCTACACACAGATGCTAACACAACTGTGTTAAGATG